AAAAAAAAAAAGAATAATGGCAAAATAGTATTTTTTTAGGGTGCGGTAATATAATTTGGGTGTGGTAAATAGCAATATTTTTTTTTTTCTTTTATATCCCTCCACTATACATTAACTTTCTTTGTCAGTTCCCAAACCAAAATAAATAAATAACTAAAAAAAGATCTTTGCACTTCCTACTCACATAAATTCATCCACTTTAACTCCTCAACAGTTAAAAAAATGCACAGATCAGCCTGTCAACATCAGACATAGAGCTGTTAAACGAAACGAGTCGTTCATGAGCTCAACTCGGCTTGTTCGATTCGTTTGATAAACGTGTCAAACTCTAGCTCTCATAAAGCTCGTTTCGTTTCGTTGATGAGTCATGATCTACGGTTCGATATGGCTCGTTAAGGCTCGTAAAGAGAATTTTTATATAACTTTCTATAATTCGTCTAGTCATATTCAAACTCGACTCCCTAATATTGATAAACGAGCCGAGATCGAGCTCGATTTTTTGACGATTTACTTAACGATCCGAGTCAGACTCGACTCATGCTCGAGCTCCAGTGCTCTGAGTTCGAGCTTGGCTCGATTCCTTTAGAGCACTTGACATCACACTCACAAAATTGTAACCATTTTTTTATCAATCTTTTTTGTTATTTCTCACATTCTTCATTTCTCTTCTCTCGCTTCCTTTTTTTTTCTCTATTTTTTCAAGTTATGCCAAGGGTATGCCACCGAAAAACGAATACGATGAACTCCATCGAAAGACGGATCTGATGAGCTCCGACGAAAAACAAACGCGATGAACGTCGATGAAAGGCAGACACGAGCAAAAGACGGATGCAACGAACTTCGGCCAAATAACCACCCGAGCGATGTCTGTAAAAGACGAAATAAACCAATTCCAGCAAACTCCCAATAGATAAACTTGCGTGAGCTTCTTCAAAAAACTCTCTACTCGTTTTTTCCGAAGAACGCAAATTGTCACTCTCTGTGAAATCTCCCGGCATCTGAGGCGAAAGTTTATTTTATTTTATTTTTAAATCGGTGAGTTCTTATTCTTTATATACTCCAAAAAAAAGGTGTCAATGATTGGTGGTTGTTGTCCATATCTACCAACTCTTTATATTAGGTTATGTCAATTTCTCATAGATGAACATTGTACATTCTCATAGATGAACATTGTACCTATTTTTTGCTGAAAGGTTTGAAGTTCATTTATCCAACTTATATTACAGCCATGACACACGATCAACTTGAGGGGTTGTTTCCATTTGCTAGTGAGTCGTGTCCTTAGGTTGAAAAAAAAAATGCATCTAAATATAGTGATTTCTAGAATTTAAAAATCATTCGGTCAAGTAAATGAAGTTTTAAGGTTCTTGATGCCGACAAAAATTGTGTTATGGACTTGCATGCCCGTACTTGTTCTTGCAGAGAACGACTACTATCTAAGATGCCTTACAAGCATGAATGTGCTTGTATGAAGTGCAAGTCAATGTTCATCTATGTGTGCCATGGACTTGCATGCCCATACTATGTTTTGTTCAATCTACTATATGTAATAGGTCTTTTGTTTTTGCCATGTATCTATTGCAAGTATATGTCTAAGATGTTAGAATGTGTTTCTTGATGGTACATTATCAATATATTTTGAGTATGTACTTGATATTACCATGGCTAGGCTATACCTGGTTGACACTAAGTCTTCGTAGGTCGACCTGAAAAATGAGACGAAGGAGAACTATAGAAACAAGTCAACCAAAATCAAGAGATGATTTACTCTACTGTGACCTATGTGCACTTGAACCATAATTGACACAGGAGTGTAGATCGAATGAAGGACCTAAGAAGAACCAAAGGGGATCTAATGAGGATAAGAAAAAAATCTAATGATGATGGGAATGGCATTAGGACATGAATCATAGGCAATTTATTGCATTTGTCAAAATTTGACATGTGCCATAAGTAATTTATTGCTTTTGTTAAATGTTTTCATATGATATGAATTATAGGAAATTTATTACATTTGTTCAAATATTATCATATCAAATATGTATGGAATTAATCTAAAATTTGCTTTGTTCTTTTCCCCTATAAATTAAGTGTAGATCGATGTTGTCTAATCATCTTGCTTTTGATTTAATTTATTGTTACACAAATACATTGATACTGATTTAATTCAATTCAACATGAAGTGCGAATTCAGTTTGATCAAGGACGTCACTAGAATTGAGAAACTACCCATGAGCTGCGTACGATTCGAATAATTGATATCTAGCTTCATTAGCATCTTTGACTACTCCGAACACAAATTTGAGGTTGAATACAATAATTACTTGGAAATCCTATTTCACAATGAGGAATTCCGACAAATCCTCCTAGTTATTTCAAAGGGGAGTCGTCAGGTTATTGTGAATGCTGCAATTATTTCTTCCGATATATGGGATAGTGTACTGTGGTGAGGCTTACAAAAAATATGCGCCTTCAGAGCATTGGTGATTAGAATGAACGCGAGAAGCTGCCTGTTTTTGCTAATTAGATAGTGGGCATTGGAGATGTAACCGTCGGGGCATCCAATGATGGATGTGCCTTGATAGACATACCTGATGATATTGTTGGAGCTCACATGTGATCCCATCGCTGCAATTGTGAGAGCACATATCCAATGTTTAAGGATGCAACCGATGATCCTAGTTATTTGAAGGATAGGGCTATACTAGCTCCAACGTTGGAGGTGATTGAGTCTATCAATGAGTAATTGATGTCTTTGAACCTAACCTATGTTCAAACATACTTGAGCTCTGATAGTACATCCAAATCTGATTCCAATAATGATAATTTGTCCGATCTCCACACCCCCGAGTTTTTGAATACTATCAGATATTCTGGAGTGTCGAACCATGAGTTGAATCTTAATATAGAAACCCCAATCACGTTGTTGCGGAATATTGATCATTCTACGAGATTGTGCAATGGTACAAGATCGGTTATCATAAAGCACTCAACTCATTTGTTTGAAAGTACGGAATTAACTGGATCTAATGTAGGAGAGAAGTTGTTGATACATCATGTGACTCTAACACCTTTTGATGTTAAGAGTACCTTTCAAATTTCAGGCGGATGGAGTTTCCACTAATGGTTTCTTATGCCATGACGATTAACAAGAGCCATAGTCAGTCTTTATCACATGTTGAAATTTTCTTGAAGAAACGGGTATTTAGTCATGACCAGTTGCATGTAGTTGTTTATTTGTCACTAATCGAAAGGGCTCGAAAATATTAGTTTGCGAGGAGAATAGTGTGCACGCACATGTTTTTTAATAATATATAATAATTTTTTTAATTTTATTTATTCACGAATATAATAATGATACTGAGTAAATAACATTAAAATTGTCTACCCCGTGGGCGTATACAAAAGCCAATACTAGTGGAATAATTAAAATTACTAAAAAAGCACATAGGATATGATAGCCCGAATAACATTTTCATTAACCTTGGGGCTTGGACATCCTTCTTGCAATAAATATTACCAATCAAATTCAACTATTTTTTTCACTGTTTTTTATATTGCAATAAATATTACCAATCAAATTCAACTATTTTTTTTCACTGTTTTTTTTATATAGAACTTCAAATTCAAGTACGTCATATTTACTCATCCTATTCATAATAATTGTCGTTTTCATATTTACTCCCTCCTATTCATAATAATTGTTGTTTTGAGAAGTTGCACAATAATTAAGAATATTTTTTTTTCTCATAATAACCCTATTTAATGAAGATAGAGATTAATATTTTGAAAAAAACATAAAAAGTGAATATGAAAAGACGTATTATATTTATTAGTTAAATGAGAGTAATAATGGAAAGATATGTTCAAAATATCCAAAACGACATTTATTTTGTTAATAGTTGATAAAGTCAAGACATTTAAAAAAAATAGGAGGTAGTAATAATCTTTTCATGATCATGACAGGTCATAACACAAGAAATTAATCACGGTTGCTATTTGTATAGAATCATAAACAAAGACATTGATCTCAATCATAACAACGAACTCTACAGCAATGTACCGTTACACTGTAGCTTGATCTACCCACCATAGCTACTTATTCATAAACTCAGGGAAGGACCAAATTCCACTAGAATGAACAAAAGAAAAGAAAAAGAAAGAGAATTTACTCGGCAAAACTGTTCCGATTGGGAAAAGACTTCATCAGATACAGATATCTACCATCGACCCAACACAACACTTAAATACACAAGATCACACTAAAAGACCATCCACGCACGAACCCAGCATCCCCCTTTTCAGGCACACCAGGCCAAACACATCAACACTAAACACTGCAAAATGAAATACTTCCAGACGGCACACGATGCAAGAAACATAGCAGCACTTAACCAAACAGCATTGCTCTGTATAGCGTGCTTCTCACTTCCTCTGCTGATTTATGATCTCTCCAGATTTTAGCAAAAACGCAAAAGAAGCATGCTTTCCATCTCAAACATGATGCCCACCAATATTTTTCTTTCTTATTTTTTTTTCCCCGAATGAGCATAGAAATCAGAAAAACCTTCTCCTGAAACTCCTGGTCGTGGCTTGATAAGACCGCATGAGCAGGCCAACACCAATTCCCACGCCAAGGCACATACCGAGACCTATCCCGACACCAACCCTCACACCAGCATTGAACCACGTGAGCTGGCCGTCCTCACCTGGGTACATTTCTTCAGAGTAATTGCCATATGAGACTTTTCCGTCCGAGTCATATTCATCCATATCAGCAGGCATCAACTGCAAAAAAGTGGTTAAATGGAAACTCAGTGGATTGAGGAAACGGGGTACACTGAGGGTTAGCTGAAGTCTTGATATATAATCTCACAGAATTGTCTATCATGAAGATAGCATCAACGAATTTAGTAAAAATCTCACAAGCTTTGAGTTAATCTTTCAGCTTTAATTGTTAGAAAAGCAGGAAAGCTTCTGGTGCTGTTCAAACTAAAGATTAATAATTGCATCTCATTCGAACTCGTTGAATATTGTCTCACTCCCAATTAACAAATGATTTTTTCCAACAAGAATGCGGACGTTCTATATCGCCTATCATTATCATCATACAAATTTGTTTGCTTCTGAATATACTCCCTTGGTAACATCAGGTCCCAGAAAGCATATATTAACCTGTTACCTGTCTGTAAAAAGGGTTTTTACTTTTTAAGTAATTAACAAAACTAACTCCCCACTGCTACTTAAAAAAGAAATAATGTAACAGCAGTTAATTCTTTTGAACTCTTCACCTAAAACTCCATGCGTAGTCACATGACACAAAATTTTGTAATAAGATGAAATTATATACAATGCAGGCAAAATAGAGCCCGTTGAAAGGATCTGGCGAGTATGGACTATTCATTACATCTCAAGGTATGAAGCATCAGGGTGATAAATTGTGGATCTGACAAGCTAAAGCTACACTTGATGCAGTTCAGATTAAAAGAGCATGCACTCACACACACACACACACACACACACACACACATCATTGAAGTCCTGCAGCCAATAATTTCCATTGCCTCTTTATCTAAAGCTGTGACAAGAGTATACTTAATTACTTATACTACTGCTCCCGACTAAGTTGTCCCCATAGCATCAGCATGTTATCATGAAAAAATCACAGGAGACATTAACCAATAACAATGCAAAAGGAAAAAAGACTGCAATAATCTACTCTTGAGCTAGATAAACTGAAAGAAAACCGGATTAGCCGATAACCTCATAGCAACAGTTTTTAACTGAGATGTATGAAAATCTATCATACTGATAAATGTAAAACCCCTCTATAAGGGCACCAATGAAATAAACATTTCAACGTAGGGTCAATATCATTTTACAGGGTCGGGCAACCTAAGGTTCTAAATGTAATGCTGCACCATGTAATTGGTCATGGATTTGTCTCTGTTTGTCAAATGATATCCTTTCAATTATGCCCTCTGGGTAGAGCTATTATTCTTCCAATGTTTACATAGTAATACTATGCTTGACTTCAATAAGTTAAGCTCAAACATGAAATATGCTTGACAACAATGATGAAAATTAAATAGCTATTCCCTATACGATCTCCCCAGCAGCTAGAATATCGTACTTGAACTCATAGCATCACTAATGCTACCATGATCAGAACTAAAATCATGCTACATTATTACAACTGAATGAAACCTCTTCAACTTTAGCCACATTTAAACCAATATTCCCTTTTATTTAAGAGTCCGCAAATGGGAAAAGCAAATAATTTAGAAAATCACGGCTCAAACATGCACCACTCACGATAACTTCATGTCCATATCGACAACTGAGGAAGCAGGACTAAAGAAATAAACCCAAAAGCTAAAATAGTCAATATTCTACCTGTAATTTTCTCTGTCTCACCACCCCATTGCATAGATTCATCTGTTCCTTCCCAATCTCCTCATCCTCGGGAATTGCATCCAGCGTCACCCCATGCCTCACCTTCCTCCTAGGACTAACCAACACAGTCTTCATCAAGATCACCGGAGCCCCAGAGCAGCACCCGGCTATATA